TCTGTACACTACCCAAACATTACACATTTTCTAAGTTTTTATTATATGAAGAAGTTTAGTCCTAAGTTAACTGTTAAAAACTAGAAACACAGATACAGGAAGGCAGGTATTTTCAAAACGAATAATTTAGGGTGTTCAGCATGGGAGAATCATGTATTAATTTTCTAAAATTATGAATATTCACAGTTAGCACAGACTTAATTACGTACCAAATCCTCAGCTATTCTGCACACTGTTCTAGAAGACTGCAGTTAAAGAAGCAAATTAGGGAGTCACAATTCAGAGGAGAACATGAACATTTGTTACTGCTTTTATGTAAGGTATTTAAAAATTGTTCTTGGATGTAAATGTATTTAAGAAATAACAATTCCTACTTAAGTCACAACTTTAAAACCTGGATATCCTTTCCATCAAGTTTCTTTGTCAACTGACAAGTTGAAACTGTCAACTCTGAAAACACAGAATGGGGTATTGTAGGAGTCTGAAATGAGCAAGCTGTGAGCATTACTCTGTGTTGCTGAGGTCATCTCACCAAAACTTCCAAAAGAACTTCCAGAAGAACAAAGGTTCTCATGCAGTCTAATAAGAAATAATTATATCTGCCAAGAGCAAGACTAAAACTTGTGCGTATGCACCAATGCTTTATGTGAGTGGATACAAGATTTATGCATCAGTGAGTTCAGTTCAGTGTTAGCTGTGTGGTGGGGCTGCTCCTACCTGCTGAAACCCAGATGTTGATCATCTGAATTAACCTGCTGTGCAGACATGCACAAGACAGCCAGAAATGCAAGTTGCCATTTGACAAAGCGTGACAAAGTAATGGTGTCCTCAGCTACCTCAGTCGTGTCTTGATGCATTTCATGATAGAAGCAGATGTGCAGACCTGCTTTAAATCCTGCTTGACCAATGCTTAGTGTTGTCTTTCAGCAGGTGTAGATAGCAGAGACACAGATGGGGACAGATAGAAATTCTGCAAGTTTTTGTAGGATAGTCCTACAGAGAAGTCAACTTCTTCCCAGTAAATTCTTACCAGTTCTTTATGTATTGTTGATTACAGTAGTGAGTGGCAGAGGTTATTTTCTACTAAATGCATATGCCACCTTAAAATTTTGACAATACATCCACAAATTCATGTTTCTTTGATTACATCTGCTACAAGTCTGCTCACTGTCCCAATCAGTATTGCAGTATTTCCTGAGTTCCCCCATTGTTTACATGCATTTATTTTCTCTCATCTGCTATTTGTTTCTATCTGTTTGCATTTACTTGTTTTCTCTGATGTAATTATTTTCGAAGGAGCTGTCTATTTTTTTTTATGTTTATGCTACATCTAACACTATATTATTCTGCTACAGAACTACGAATCCCATGGCCCTATGGTAATACAAACACTATATTAAATGTGCCACTATACCACTTGCTGCTTTATTTAAAAGCTGGTTTAGACTGCAGTCTGAACTGACAGTGAGTATCCACATTCGCCCACCACCACCATTTCATTTGCAAATGCTTACTATCTGCAAATGTTACTATCTGCTCTTCTTATCTTTGATTTAAAACCCTATTTTTTGAGTAACATATTCCTTAGGCTTTTTCATGGAGAAAATGAGAATATTGAATGGATTATTTATGTTATATTCAATTTATACTAGATGAGTTAGTCTACATTATAGATGCAGGTAATAATACTAAAATTTTTTTCAAATAGTATTTTGCTTCTGAAAACAAGATAAATTATAGATGCAGGAACGGACTTTTATTTCATTATAGCTATTTTTAATCTAGACTTTTATTGTGGGTATTTGTCTTTCATGTGGTAATGTGCAAAATATATGCATAAACTGAACAAATCTTTTGTGATTATAAAAATACACAGTAATTAAGTAGTGTTCTTGTAGATTATTTTAAGTTTATGAAAATTTTAAAATGTGTGATTATTTAATCTTCTTTAACCCCTTTAATTTTCATTAAGAAGCAGACACTCACTGCACTCTGGCCACAAGATGGCAGCGCTGAATAGATAAAAAATAGTTCAAGAGTTTCAACTTGCATAACCTCCAATAAAACTAGCAAAACCCACGGCTCTTTGTCCATGAAACAGGAAAAATAACGAAAGTTGAACTCCACCAAACAACATTTATTAGTTAGCCATCAATTGTTTAGTTCAACTCTCGGATTTATTCTATCCTTCCCCAGGACTGCTTGGAAAAAAATTTGCAAATGTCATTTTCCCCTATCTATTACTAAAAAGGGGCACAAATTTATTTTCGTGTCATTGTAGCTAAAAAGTTAAATTATCTGTCTGAGCAATATTAGTTTTTTTTTCTATTTTATTGCCAAAAACATTGCTAAAAATATTCTGCAACATTATTGACAAGCAAAATTGTGTATTTAGAACTTGTATTTAGAGATCAGTGTGCTGTCAAGACTTTATGATGCAGTAAATGAGCCTACTTACAGGAATTTTCAGATATTAAACAGCTTTATATATGAGGTTATATATGTGAGGTATATAGCTCATATATATATGTAAATGGTTATAAATACTGTGAAGTACATGTTGTGAGGAAGGTGTTATACAAGTAAAAGATTTTGGAGCTTTTCTGTGTTCATTTTACAAGGCTGTAAATCTTTCCTGTTCACTAAGTGAAACAGATGCCAATGGCTCAGGTACTTGCTATGGGCTGGGTGAAGCAGATATAACAATTTACCAACAAACAAGCAACCTGGCATATAAGAGGCTTCAGTGTTCCTATTTATCATGTTGTTTATCTAAGCATTTGGAAAAAGAATACAAAAAGCTTCTAAAGAAGCTATTAGATTGCTTTATTTTCTGAATTGTTAAAAATGAAGGAGTCCTGTCTGAGTCATCATGTGGTTTGGTTTGAGTTAATTACTGGGATTTTGCTTTCAGGTTTAATTTGAATATGAAACTACCCCTGAAATTTACTCTAGTAAATAACCTAGTTTGTAGTTTTCATGCTTTAGCATATATGCAAAAAATCCCAAAGCTGGTATGAGTTAGGGAAGCATGGTGACAGAGCTGAGGACATGGAACTGTTCAAACATCATCACTTATCCCTGCTGGTGGAAATGAGAGGGAGGGACAGAGCCATGAGATGATGCTGCACACAAGGGAAGGGAAGATGCAGTTCCAAGAAAGTTCAGTTGCTTCTACCAGGTCATGAGCAAGGAATATATTTGTTTATAGTACCAGCAATGAACCAAACAACATTATTCTAAATGTATCTTCTTCCCTTTTGATTCAGAAATTATGCAATTGTCTTCGGAAAGTGGTTCGAGTCTTTTTTTAGCAGTGCCTTTTAATAAAAGGCTCATAGATCATGTGCACCATTGTACTATTGCTTTTAAAAATCATAGTGAAATAATTCTTTCATGGAGATGCTGTAACACAGTAAAAGACATTGCTCAATACTTCAAGTCCTGTGCCCAGTTCTGGGCCTATCACTTCAAAAAAGACATTGAGGTGCTGGAGCATATCTGGAGAAGAGGAATGAAGCTGGTGAAATGTACAGAAAATAAGTCATATGAGGACGCAGCTGGAGGAGCAGGGGGTGTTTAGCCTTGAGGAGCCTCAGGAGAGACCTTATTCCTCTCTACAACTCCTTGAAAGGAGATTGTAGCAAGGTGGGGGTTAACTTCTTTCCCCAGGCAATCTGAGACAGAATGAGAGGAAGTGACCTCAAGCTGCGACTGGAGATGTTCAGGCTGGACATCTGGAGGAATTTCTTCACTCAAAGGGTTGTCAGCCATTGGAACAGGCTGCCCAGGGAGGTGGTGCAGTCATCATCCTGGGAGGTGTTCAAGAAACAACTGGATGTGGTACTTAGTGCTGTGGTTTATTTGACAAGGTGGTGTTCAGCCAAAGGTTTGACTCGGTTTCCTTGGAGGTCTTTTCCAACTTCAATGATTTTACAATCCTATCATTTTATGAGCAGATACTGTGAGAGGAAGGCAGCTGCTGCTTTTTGTTTGCTAGGCACAATGTTTTGGAGAAAATAGTCATGTAAATCTTGAGTTGTTCTACCACTATACTAAAAATGTAAACCCCAGCATACATCTCTATGACATCTGTGTGTGCAGTATGTATAAGTACACATACAGAAGGAACAAAAACACTTGAACTTGGTGACTGCAGAACCTCTAGTGATGATGACTCTTAGGCAGCACAACTTAATTTTGATACAAGGTTGAATTTGCAGACCTGTTGTTTCCGGGAAAAAAAAAAAAAAAAAGGAAAAAAAAAAAGGAAAAAGAGCAAATAGTATCTGTCTCCACTAAAATATGATAAATGGGAAATGTCTAGTGCTGATTTCTAAAATGTCATTTTCTAAATTAAAGTAGGCATCATTCCATTTCCTTGGGTTTTCTTGAGAAATTATTTTATAAAAGTATATATATTTGTCTCTCAGATAATACAGTAAAACACATATTTCATACTTAATGGAGATGGAAAACTCCTGTAATGTGTAAAAGTGCTAGACAAATAGAATGAGAAGAAACAGCTCATAAATAAACCAGCTGGCAAAACAGAATCATCAAAGAGATAAATTCGTTGAGCTAGCATTTGATGAAGATATATCCTTTTCAGAAAAATATGTCTCCTTAGCCATTTATCTGTATCCCTGGTAGATTAAGAACTAACAATTCTTGACATGAAAGAAATACAGAAGGCCTCTCACATAAACACATTGCAAATTCTCTCACATAAATACATTGCAAATAGCCTGATAATCTTGTGTTATACAGAATACTCTTCCATTTAGTTATTTTTCAGTTGCACCTAATCCTTCTTTTTATAGCTCCCAGACACCTTTACCTTGCTCCATTTAATCAGCAGCTCTTGCTTTTCATTTTATATTCTGTATTCTTGGTCTTCAGTGTCATTTACAACCACTTACCACTAACAAAACAATCTGCTTCCCCATCAAAACCAGCCTACAGCTGCTAGAAAATCTAGTCTACAGCAACAGTGTTAACCAAATGCAGATTTATTAAAAAATATTTTTTCAATGAATATTTTTAATAAATATGAACTCTTTGTATGAGTTTGCCTTTTACTGCATTATTTGAATGTTTGATGTCATTCACCTTTCTGTGAGGTAGTTCCTCAACATCCTATTAGTGCTGGCCACATTCCTGCACTGGCTCACTGTGCCTTACAGGATACATCTTTTTCAAGGCACAAGTATATGTCAACTGTTTAGAAGACCCATACTCCTGTAGTACAGTGTATTCACATTCAACTACAAACTGTTTTCTGTGTGCTTCTTTTAACACAGCCTATTCAGAAAACTTTTAATAGTAAAGTCTTATGTATTTAAATTATAAATACAACTTAAGCAGTTGTTTGAAAATTTAATATTCATACTATAGGTATAAAATAATGCTTTATACAAACCTGGTACATTTACCTGAAAAGTTCAAAGATCTCTACAAACAGCAATAAATTGTAAATGGTTATAAATACTGCGAAGTACATGTTATGAGGAAGGTGTTATATAAGTAAAGTTCATTGTTCAGCAAAGGAAAAGAAAATTTCATGGAGTGGATCTAAGTTACCATTCTTTTTTTCTGCTGTAACAGAAATATCATGATGTATATATCTTGAAGTCACCAGTCAATCCTTTAAGCATTTCAGATGCCTTACATTGTTCCCAAGTCAGAATATTATTTTCAGATTATAATAATTTGTCTCATGAAATGAATATGCAACAAATGAGTATGCAGCAATTTATACAAATGTCAAGTTATTTGTCAGACTTGACAGGTTTCTCCGCTGTTTTGTTTGTTCTGGCTCCAGTGTGTGGGGAGACAACAGTGCTGGAGACCTAACCTAGGACTGGTAAATTAGGAAATAGAGTCTGAATGCCATTAATTCTCCTCATTACTTACAAACACCAGGTATCTAATGACACATTCACAAATCACTTCAGCCATTTGTGTTGTTCAAGCAGTGATTAATAAAGTGATCACAGTTTAGCTGCTAGTGTACTCTGATTTGCTTTGCTATGTTTTGGTGCATCAGTAAGTACCTCCTTTCAAACTGCAGGACATAGCAGACAGTAGCATATGAATTGGGATACCTGTTTCGTATTTCTAAACTTCAATTTCTTATCACAAATCCTAAAAAAGTAAAAAAAAAAAAGCAAACAATACACAAACAAACCATGTTAAAATTTTGTATTTCATCTTTGGAGTATAAAGTATTATTATAAACCCAAGAAAATAAAAACAATGATATTTTAAAAAATGCACCTAGAATAGTGCTTGATATCCCCTCCACCAATAATAACATCTAACCCTTCCAAATAAAGAAATCCTATTGTTTACATGACACAAGGCAAAGTAGAGCTAGCTGAGGTACTGCAAAGCCTCACAGCTGTTAGGCCAGGCTTCTCACTAAGCCAGGCCTAGGACTCCTCAAGGCTATTCCTTCCTGTGCTTCTCGATTATGCAACCCGCAGAAGTCAAGGTGGTGCCTTAGCAGAGCACTAATTTAGGCAGTATCGATTTTCAGAAGTTCCAGTGACAGGCAGCAGCAAATAATAAGAATCACAAGATCATCAATTTGCTCTTGTACTGCTTGTACTGTCACTCAGTGTTCACCTTAACACAGTTTAGGGAAGAAGACATTACAAAATATTTATAATTATACAGATGTGTAACTTTAAAAAAAAAAATCTATATACATTTGGAAAAAGATCTTTACAAAGCTTTTACCTTTTACAATACTGTCCAATGTTTATCTTTCTAAGGGTGTGCCATTTCTTTTTCTGTTTGTGAGACAATGGAAATCAATATTTTTCTCGCATTCCTAGGAGTTTATAAAAGAAAAGAATAGGTAAAATAAATTATTAGTCTTATATTTTATACTCATTGAAGTGTACTTCTTCCCTGACCTGTTCTCTGTTTCAAACTGATCAGGATTCTGTTGCAGCATGCAGATATTGGCTACTTCCGACTTTCATCACATTTACAAAATAAATTGTGAAATCAGTGGCTGTGCGTTGACAGCACTTTCCTGTAACCACTCTGCAAGATCTGCACTTGTCCCTCTATTTCCTTGCAGGCAGTGAATGAGCAGAGGTAGGGTTATTCAATGATCAGCTAAAATTGGAGTGGTCCATGAGGAGACCTGGGGTGAAATTATTGATCAGTAAGTATCAGTATTATTTCAAATAGGATAATACCAGTCTATTTTTCTGTCAGTTTTACCTGTATTGTCTTCAGATGTCTGGATTCTAATTAAAGAGAAACTGACAACTAAGCTAGGTAGCATATCCTTTTTGCTGTCATTGTTTATTCCAAGACAATCCAAGAACTTTTTTACAAGAAAACTAAACAGGTGTTTCATAAGATTAGAACTAAAATGCATTAAATTCTTTCAATCCCCTTAAAAAAAATCTATTTAAAAGATAGCAGCTGTGAGACCTATATGTAGAATCAGTTATCTGAAAATTACACAGATAGCATTCCTACTGATGTAATGTGCATTGGTGAAGTATTTGTGTTCTCTGCAAAGAGGACCATGTTTCTTTTGGTGCCAAATGAAGTAGCTCCAACCCCCTGCTCATCTATTACCCTCCCTGGTTAAGGTAGTACTTCTTTCTGTGTGATGGTGCAGTAGATCAGACTTAAGAATTGATCCGGATTTAAAGAAACTTACTGGCTCTGCCCACCAAAGTTAAAAAAAAAAAAAAAAAGATGTTTTGAGTTAGAAAAGATGACTCAGGCAGTCATTCTGATGGCAGCAAAGAATCTGGATTTCAAGTTTACGTTCTTACATAAATTATGAAAATCATGACAAATCCTGACTTGCGTGGCCTTATGGATTGCTTTTGGTCTCAGTGTTTGAGATTAAATGGGTTCTCACCCAGGCATTGATCCCAATTTAAAGAGAACTGTTTTTAGTTGAAGTGAGCACTTTTGTGGCACAGGTCAGTCTGGCCTCAGGCAAGAAACACGGTACCCCAGCCCTGCTGCAGTAAGAACATAACAGTTGCTTTTCATTCCCTTCCTCTTCCAGCCCACCAACTTCAGCGAGCTGCATCAAGAGCCAGACCTGGTTAGGCATCTTTGTATCGCCAAGGTCTAAGTCCCTCTGGCAGCTCACTTACTCCTCTGATACACATCATTATGAGAAAAGCAGTATAAATAGTAATAAATTCTTAGTTAAACATTTCAAAGCTGTTTATGACTTACTTGAAAGCTAAAAAAAAAAACTGCTTGTCCAAATCCAGGCCCTAAGAGTTCATGGAAATTCTCAGTTTGTTTACGGGTAATTCACTCCAGTGGTTTCCATTATTTAACACCCTCGTTTGAAATTTCTTCCTGTTTGTAATAAGACTTTTACCTTCAAAAATATTTTTGAGGTGCTGCTAATATCCTAAGTGACATTTTTGGCTTTTTGAGTATACAAGGCAAAACTGGAATTTCTTCCAAAGGTTTCAGCAGAGTAATTCTCAGTAGTTTAACACTTTCCTGTTCATTTGGTTATCTTACTATTTTAACAAATATTTTTAATTGACACAACATATCTTCTAATGGATGAGCATAACAATAGTGTATGTAATGGGTGAATTCTTAATTAATTATGGGAAGAGAAACTCCTATTTAAAAACCCAGAACAGACACAAAATATATATGTAACAAAGGGAGGGAAACAGAACTCAGAACAGGAAGGGGGTGTTTGATATCTCAGGAAAGGAAATGTACGATGAAAACAAAAAACTTGCACAAGCAATAGTGATAATTGAAGAATCTGTATTTTTTTCCACTGGATTATGAATTTGATGGCTAGGATAAATAACTCCTGTGAAGCAAATTAAAGAACTAAATGCTTAAAGGCAAAACCTTTGCAAATAAATATGATTCATCTCTTATGAAGTCAGAGATAAGAGTTATTTGTTTTTTAAAAAAACACAGGAAATCCATACGCAGGTTCTCTCCATGCCATGAATAAGACTGAGTGTTTGACCTGTGTGGACCTATCACCAGTCCTGACACACACATCCTCCAATTCTTCAATCACAATGAGTTATGTGCAATTAACTTAGGTTTTTCATGTTTATTTACCACACTGAGTAGTTTCTCACAGTATTAAAAAAAAAAACCAAAAACAAACTAAAACATAAAAATGTGTAAATACATTACGTAACTTCAGAATATATGTGCAGTGATGTATAGACATCCAAGTTAAACTATATCTCAGTAGAATCCCTTTTTACACTACTTTGTAAAATACTGAGCAGCAATAACACATATGATGTTCAAACACCGCTAGTAACAAAGTTTATAGCTTACTCATGTATTTCATTTTAGTGTTACTAACCCTGAGTTGACGGGCCCTGTGCTCCCGGCAAAGGACGTGCTCACACCGACAGCACAAACCCAACATGACTCAGGATATTTGGACGTAATCCCGTGGCAGCGAACGGGGAAACACGCACGTCGCTCCCTCTTGTTGCCTCTTGGCAACTTCTGATTTCTTTAGCCAAATAAATGTAAAGTACTATGTCATACCATGAATGACCGATGTAAGGAACGTGCTTTTACTGAACAGATTCACACAACAACCTGCGGGCAACACCTCGGCGTGGCGGCCTCTGGGCCCTTTCCGCGTCCCTCAGGGCTCCGGCACCGCCCAGGGGACAACCGGGGGTTGTGTCGCGTCCCTTCCCTAGGTCAGCGCTGGGACAGCTGGGGCTGGACCCTGCGGGGGGCCCCAGCCAACCGCCCTTATCGGCGGGGCCCGGCCGGCGCGGCG